TATTCTAAAAGAGTCCAGTAGCCCATAATAGCATTGGGTCTTCTGTTTAACTGGCAATGTCAGAAATTACTGACCTGAGTCCCCCACAGCTCAACATAACAGCATGGCTTTATTTCCTATATTTCGTCTTTATACTTTTCTACCGGATGGTTAAGACCAAGGTAAAGCAGGACCTGTGCAACAAGAGTTGTAGCTTTTTGGTCTGAGAAGGTCAGTTTCACATTGTTTTTAAGCAGTTCTGAAACATTGCATTCTAGATTAACTAGGACTGCATTATCTAGTCTCACATTTAGTATCCTCATATTCTTATACAAATGATTTCTTAGGCTAAATTTCCCAAACTAGAAAAGCTAAGTCAAAGGGGTGTATACAGTTAAAGTGATAAGAATTACCATCCAAAAAATATGCACCAATTTAACAGCTCGTCTATAAGGATTAAGCTTGCCTGGTTCTGTAATCCAGAGCAGTACTTTTTAGTGAAAAGAGATGTCCTGAACCTACGCTGGCGCCATAAGCTGCTGCTGCCCACAGCTGCCTCGCTACCTCTCCTTATGGTGTATTTTACCAACTTTGGCAACACAACCATTGTGGTACCCAAACCCTTCCGCCCAATTCTTGGCCTACATCTGGACTTGGGGATCCTGTACTATGTCTACATGGGGCTCCTGGCAGTGTTCTATATGAATGCCATCAATATCCTAGCAGGAATTAATGGCCTCAAGGTTGGCCAGTCACTGGTCATCTCTGCTTCCATTATTGGTGGAGCTGGAAGGTGATTGTTGGGATGATCATGTCTTTTCCCTCTATTTCATGATACCTTTTTTTTTTCACCATGTTGAGATTGCTCTGCCATAACTGGTAGCCATCTTGGGTGTTTGTGGGAGACACCTTCTGTTACTTTGCTGGCATGACCTTTGCCGTGGTAGGCATCTTGGGACACTTCAGCAAGACCATGCTACTCTTCTTCATGCCATAGGTGCTGAACTTCCTCTACTCACTGCCTCAGCTCCTGCATATCATTCCCTGCCCTCGCCAGCGTATACCCAGACTCAATACCAAGACAGGCAAACTGGAGATGAGCTATTCCAAGTTCAAGACCAACAGCCTCTCTTTCTTGGGCACCTTTATTTTAAAGGTAGCAGAGAGACTCCAGCTAGTAACAGTACGCCACAGTGAGGATGAGGATGGGGCCTTCACTGAGTGTAACAACATGACCCTCATCAACTTGCTACTTAAGATCCTTGGGCCCGGGGCTGGAGAGATGGCTCAGTGGTCTAAAGCACCTACTTGGAACAAGCTTAGCAAAGGCATCAGGGACCGCGGTTCGATCCCCCAGCACCACA